GACACAACGACCGAGACTGTCCGAGCCGGGGCTCGAACCGGCAACCTTCCGATTACAAGACAAACTGCCAACTCTTGAGCCACGATCGTCCATTTTTCACTTCACAGGATCGCTGTCGTGATCTACTACACATCTTATATCCTCCATACAGCATTAAGAGCACACATCCCTCTATGTGCTCTCTCTCGGGTCTCCTTTACCATTGACAAAACTGGAAAAATGATTCCGCTCAGATGTTCAAACATTTCATTTTGAAAACTCGAGAGGAAATTTGATCAGTTTTATTTCTCGTTCGAAGATTTTTCGCCACATCGTTGCATCCACTTTTTTGGACACTGGCTCAGTACATTTAGCCTAACAAAACAAAACCGCCCACACTGCTGTCTTTGTCCACGTTTCCCACATATTGGGCAGCTCAAGGACGGGTCAAAAAGCAAAAAGCTAAAAAACAAACAAAGAAAAAAAAGCACTAAAATGCAACAAAAAGCATAGAAATTCAAAGCAAGTCAAGTTTTTAAGTAAAACGTAAAAGAAAAAGGCCCTGGTAACATAATACGCTCTAAGGCAAAATGCTATTGTACATAAATCTGGGCCAAAACATGACCTCTTTTCCAGGAAGAACATGCAGGAGAACTGTTCCTGTGATGCAAGTTCCAACAAAAGTGGTGCAATCAGCTGAAAGAAAACCTGAGCAGGGTGCACTGCTGACATGATGCCTCAGCTCACAACACTGTCAGTGTCCGTTTGCAATGACACCATTAAAATTAGCAGTTAAGTGATCAGGTGACGTGTTTTTTCTTTTCATTGTAGTGAGAATATTTCCTGTAAACCATCTAAATTAAGTTTCAGAATATTTTGAACCCAACAAATATATTTCAGTGAGAATCTTGAAGCGCTCACCGCTATTCGTGCCGCCGGCCCCAGATGTGGGACCAGGTGATGAAACCACTGCGCGGTACGTTGGAGGAGGTGGTGGCGGAGGTGTACTTCTACTGCCTTGGATTGCATCTTTGGGCGAAGTGACAGTTTCACCTCCATCCTCTTTGGGATGGGTGGTGCTTGTATTGTTGGGCTTCTCTTCTTGACAGAGGACGAGAGGCGGCGGGACGGAGCGAGCCGCAGGCTCCTCGGAAGGAGGCGTCGCTGCTGGAGTGCTTATTTTGGGGGTGGGCGCAGGTGGGACACTTGGAGGTGAACTAAGAGGAGGAGGGGAGGAAACGGGAGGAGATGAAAGCTCCTTTGTTGCAGGAGACGGAGAGGTGGCGAGCGTGGGAGGGTTTTGGTCTTTGGGAGTGGGAGGACCCGAACGGACAGAAGGTACGACTTGTTCCTCTGAGGGAGGCGGGGAAGTTGGGAGAGGGGGAACAACATCATCTTCTGGGGGAGGTGAAGTAGGCAGAGGTGGTGCAAAGTCTTCCGAAGGAGGTGGTGATGTAGGTAAGGGTGGGGCATGAAGCACAGGTGGAGGAGAGGAGGCTGGTAATGGAGGTGCTGGTTCTTCTGGAGGAGGTGGGGAGGAGGGGAGGGGAGGTGCGGGGTCCTTTGGTGGAGGCGGCTGGTCGGGAGCTTCTTCGCTGAAGCAGACCCACGAGTCGCCCGTCTCCTCGCAGGCAGGGGGAGCCTGCTCCGGTCCGAAAATGTTGTCCAAGTCGGCGATTGAAGGCTTCCTGTCTGCTCCTGCAGACGCTTCTGAAACAGAGATAAGAGCAATTTAAAAAAAGAAGGGGGGGGGGGTTGTTTGCAGATGTGCTCAGCAAGGAGATAAAAGATCACAGGGAGACAAACAGACGAAGTTAGCACCGGAACATCAAGATAAACAGACGACTGAGGTCAAATTTAAAAGCTTGTTTCAGCTTGAGGCGATTTAACGGGAGGCAGAAACAGATGATCAGACTCTTACCAGCATCATCTGCAGACGGAGGGCTATTTGGTGGAGAAGCTGGGACGTTCTTGGGTGGAAGTGGAGGTGGAGCTGCAAGTATATCACAAGTTTAACAGTGAATGCAATAATCACCTGTTTCACAACTGCAGCTGGTGATGGGCTGCAAACAGTCTGACTCAAGGCGCAAACAACAACAAAGGGAAAAATGAATGAAGAAAATAAGCCAACACAAGATGAACATTTGGATCTATAAACAGGCACCGCCATCGTATTCCAGAGACAACATGAGGGGGGATCGTCCCAAATTACCCACCATGCAACACAGAACATTCAGCCCCCATCAGCCCAAACGCATGCAGGCAAGGGTTGGTGCCCAATGACCGAAACTTATTGAACGTCTGAATCACGTGCTCGTGAAATGACTGATGAAATGAAACGGGTACGATGGCTGTTTGATCAGGTCAGTTTGCAGATTTCTCAGGATGATGAGCTGAGCTGATCCAGCTGTGTGTTCATTTCACAGGGACGGGGGAGTGCAGCGTAATGTGGAGGGAATGGCGCAACTTACTTCCTGTGGGAAAGGATCTTGTCAAAGAGGATTCAGGCTCTGATAGAGGAGTCCCCCACACGTCACACTCAGACAGAACCGCTAAGTTCAGGAGGGGACAGAAAAGGCCATCGTGAAGGGCGTTAGCAGCGAAACACTTAGGGCTCGTGATCCTTTGGGGATGTGTGTCCCAAAACGTCGGCTGCATCCTTCTGAGGACCCGGCCTTCGCGGTCTACGTGGGCCGGGTCCTTCAAAGACCAAGAAGACCAGAAGTGCGAGGCTGTGAATTTGGACGGTCCAGCCTTCAGATTTGCGTCACCGCTGTCTCGGTGGAGTTTAATAAACTCGGCCGTCTGCTCCTTGCTATCTAAAATATAACAGGACACCGGCGTAAATTCTCGACCGTCTCACACTTCTG